TACATACGCACGTAGGTTCTTTTCGCGAAGCTTTTGATGCAGAGGGCATGCTTGCTCGTTGTTGAGAGAGAGAGTTAGAATTTTTATTGATTTTTCAACTTGTATTTAGCGATTACCTTTCGTTGTTCTTATTTCACATGTGCTTCTTTTAAAAATGAAATTTTCGGACTTTCTGGTTCTAACGAAACAGCACATTCAAACAGTGATTGAGGATGGTGGCGGTGGACTTGGTACCGTTAGAGCAGCATTATGTGGATTGCACGGGAAAATCTGAAAAAAGATGGAGTAAAAAAGAGCACAGACTTTCGAACTGCACTAATTTTATTCATATTTTTGACTTCTTTTTCAGTTTTACCTTGGCAAGCATTCGAAAAAATAAGCATTTTTGTTTTTCAGAGATTACGAACATTTTCTTTTCATAGAGACTGAACTAGGAAGAATACAGTGTGCAGTTTCTTCCAAAAAAAAAAAAAACGAAAGTCCCACCTTGATATCGAGATCCCATGCCATTGTTTCGGTGGGAACATCCGTTGGAGCTTGCCAGAGTCCTTCGTCCTGAACTTCTTCCTCGAAATGATGGCACGTTACGAATTCGAAATGAAGACGCCATTTCAAATGCACTGGAAAATAAAAAGGAACGCAATTTACAGATGTTTCAGGGTTTTTTCGCACCATTAGCAATTCTATTCTGCTAAAAAGCTTAATTTTTCTGCAAAATGTCAACTTCAGAGGATACAACAATTCCGAACTAGGAAGTGAACATTATTATGCCTGAGAGCGTATTGTTATTGGTAGACTAAATTACCGAAACTTCAGCTTTTATAGCTTTCGTTGATCTAAACATTGTAGTATGCGAAAAGTTAGTAGCAAATGCCAACAACAACCACTCGCTAGCAAGGCTCTCTCTCTCTGATCTCCTCTTCCAGAAGTTGATTACAAAGTCTGACGGGTTTGGTTCTCTGGAACATGCACATTACCAATTCACCACCAAAACGAATAAATTTGCCACCGAAATGAATCACAGAGGACTGACTGATGTATACGGAAGGAAAATTTTAACATCAGGTCGGTGCAGCTGAAATTTATCAAATCAAGGAGGCTAAACTCAGGTTGAATGTCAGTCACTGTACCGGGAACAAATCAACACACAAAATGAGGTGATAAAATCAGCTTCCTCACTTCCCCTCTCCGCGCCCTTTCTCTCGAGAACAAAGGGGGAGGGAAGGGGTAAAGGAGGGGATCCATGTTTTCCGCGTTGAAATCTTACCGGTATCGGTATAGAATGTTGGCGTGGCTGATAACGGTATATGTAAACGCACAGTAGCTTCTGTCCAATATGCACATACGATATGTTCGGTCATATGAGTGGTGACGAAGGTATTTGGGCACCAATCTTCATTAATGAGAGTTTCAACTGACTGCAGACTTACTGCGAACTGCAAAATATACAGCGCTTCAAATGTGAAAAAAATTTCGTTCACTAAATTCAGCTCATAAATACTAAATTCCAGTGAAACAAAAAAAACTAGTATCGCGGAAAACCCGCGTAAGGTCGGCCAAAAAGCAGCCACAAAGG